ACCTTCTAATGTGCTCCGGTCAGAGCTGTCATTATTACCCAATTACAATGACGCTCTGAATCACGTGGTTTCGGATGCAGGAACTACAAGCACGCGCTCTTGTTTCTGTTGCTGCCAGTGTTTCTACAGTGGCTGATTTTGTCAACGTTTCTGGTGTTTTAGCTACAATATTGTGGTAGTTAACACGGGGGGTGACGCACCGACCCGAGTGTTGCCTCTGAAGAAGACAGATAATACAGCGTCTTGTAAGCCAAGGTGAAGAGTCAGAATAAAACCCAAAGTGCACTGGGAAGCTACTAAAGAACCTCAAGCAGAGAAGCGACGTATCACTTATAGTCATACAAAAATTAATTTACGAAACATTTCGGATGGTTAAAAAAAAAAAAAAATACACTGAATGCTCATGTAGCTACCACCCAGCAGTATCTAAACAGTTACAAGGTTCAGATTTTTGTTAAACACATTCATGACACAATGATGCGACTGAAGTTTTTTGTTCTTTCCTCCATTTAGTTTTCTACCTATTCAGCATGAATGCATTCCCACATCTCCCCAGTGGTCTCAATCCCCCCTGAAGACACCCAGGCACACCCCGTTTTCTATGAAACCCGTCTTCCTGAGGGTCTTTCCCGCAGCCGTCTGACCTGCTCTAAGGCCTTGCTGTCTCCACCCCCGGCCCAGCGGTCAGCCGGGGGCCCCCTCACGTCACTGTCCTCTGGGGGCTCTCACTCCTTTGTTTAGGTGGATACTGCTTCATATGCCTCCTTCCTGGTTTTTTTTTCCTCTCATTTTGGTAAACATCTCCAGGAGGTTCTGGATAAGCTCCGGGCACTGGAGGTAAATTGTGAGGCACGGCACATCTACAAATGCCTTTAGCTTTACTTTCACATTTAATTGACAGTTTGCTTGGGTGTAGAATTCGAGGTTGGAAATAATTTCCCTGTAGAATTCTGAACAGATTCCTCAGTTGCCTTCCAGCCTGCAGTGTTGTTCTGAGAAGTCGGAAGTAATTTTGATTCTTTTATCTTTTTATGTGGTCTATTTCACTTCTCTAGAAGCTTTTAGGATTTTCTCTTTGGGCTCGGTTTTCTGACATTTTATGATCATGTATCTTAGTGGGGAATCTATTTTTATCCATTATACTGGGCTAGACTGGCCCTTTCAATTTGGAAACCCAGACCCTTCAATTCTGGGCAATCTTCTGAATTCTTTCACTGATGGCTTGTCTCTTCTCTTCTCTTCTCACTGTTAGTTATGCATCTCAAGCCCAGGTTAGTAAGTTCACATGTTCATAAGTAACCAACTTACCAAGCTACAGCCCACTCCCACTGTCCTCTTTGCTGGCCAGTTCTCCACCTCAAACGCTGGCTCCACCGCCTCTGTTCCATCTCTAAATGTCGGAGAGGCCAAGGCTTCCTCCTGGGCTCCCTTCTCTTCTCTGTTATCAATATGCTCTAGTGGACCTTATTCCATCCTTTAGTACCATTCCTGTGCCGATGATTCCTCAGTCTTTACGTCCAGCCCTTACACTTCTTCCTTTCTGGACATTTCCACTTGGATTACCTAATGGGCATCTAAGACTCAACACGGCTACAGACAGAAGGTGAATCTCACTCACACCTGTTCCTTCCCAAGTGGTCTTCCATCTCAGTAAACAGCACCATCACCACCCAGCTGCTCAAGCCAAACATTTTAGGAATTGCACTTGATTCCTCTTTCCCTTCCACTCCATAGTTAACCCATCAAATTCGGTAGCTTGACCTCCAAAGGCATCCCAAATCAATCCTCTTCATCTGAACACCACCCACATTCCAGTCCAAGCCCTGGCACCACCACCTCTCACCTTCACTCCTGTAATGATCTCCTAATTCCACTTCTGCTGCCTGAAGAACTACTCTCCACACAGAAGACAGAGTAACCTTAAAAAGTCAGATCACATCACTTGCCTACTTAAAATCCTCTAATGACTTCCTTGGGAGAAAGATGTGGCAGGCTGCTTCCTAAAGATTACAGCCTTGCAAACTCTACGGGGTAGTTCTACCCTGTCCTATAGGGTCACTGTAAGTCAGAATCGACTCAGTGGCAACTTTTTTTTTTTAAATGGCTTCTTATTGCACCTTAAATTTGATTCTAACTTTTCATTCTGGTTTACAGAGCCCTATCTGCTCAGGTCTTTGCCCACCTCTCCCTTCTGAACAAACCTCTCATTACTCTCCTCCTTGAGCAGTACGTTCCAGCCAACTAGCTTTCTCCCCTTCCTGAAATTTGCCAAACTCATCCTTGCCTTAAAGGTTCCCACAGAAGGTTCTTCCCGCTCATCTCAAGTATCTAATGCCTTCCTGTCATTCAGATACCAGCTTCAACTCCTTTGCACTCGAGAGAGGAAACTCCCTGGCTGCTTATTCCCTGGCATCTTCCAATTTTAACTCTCTGCATAGCGCTCGTCACTGTCCCATGTTACTGTTCTTTTACTTCCTCCCCTCAGGAGAATGAAGCTCCACAAGACAAGGGATCTCATCTCATTTGTTCTTGAAACCCTTCACCTAGAATGCTCGGCATACAGGAGGTGTGCAGTGTACGGACCTGTTGGAAGAACGGACTCGTAATAGACGTTTACAAAGTGTTTACCATTTCTCAGGCTACGCAGCTGTAAATCCTACCCTCAGAGAATGGCTCCATCTTTCAGATGAGGAAATGCCACTAAGTAAGAGGCTTGCCTATGGTCAGAAAGCTAGTTAGTAACCGGGACTAAAACCAAAGTCTCTTCTCATCTAATGTCTCTTCCCACTAAGCCACAGGTCCCTGTCACTGTTAGCGGAATTCATCAAAAATAATGATGTGGAACAGTCTGGCGGCTCCTCAAAAAGTTAAACACAGGATTACCACAGGACCCAACAATTCCACTCCTAGGTGTACACCCAGGAGATGGGAAAGCAGGGAATCAAACCGATACTTGTACATCACTGTTCACAGCAGCATTATTCACAATAAGCAAAAGGTGGGAACCCAAGTGTCCACTAACAGACACATGACTAAAGGAATGCCGGTAACCAAGAGGTTAGCAATAGTGCGGAAGAAAGGCCTGGCTGGCAATCTGCTTCTATAAGATTATAGCCACTGAAAACCCTGTGGAGCTCAGTTCCACTCTGAAACACGTGGAGTCGCCGCTAGTCCGAATCCTCTTGACAGCAATGGCTTATATACACACAGCGAAGTATTACTGAGCCGTAAAGAGAAATGAAGCTGATACACACGGTGACATGGACTGCAACCTGAAAACATACTAAATGAAATAAGAGGGACAGAAAAGGGCAAATCCTGTCTGATGCTGTTGTGTGTTACTGTCAATTCCCACTCAGGGCGACTCCACGCGTGCAGAGTAAAACTGCTGTGTAGGGTTTGTCAGGCTGGGACCTTTCGGGAGCAGATCACCAGGTCTGTCTCCCAAGGTGCTCTGGGTGGGTTCGAACCACCAACCTTTCGGCTAGAAGTCCAGCACTGAACAGTCTGTGCCACTCAGGACTCTCGCTGTATGATGCCACTTCTAGGAAATACGTAGACTAGGCAAAGGCACACAGACCGAAGTTCATCAGTGGTTCCCAGGGCTTGAGGAAAAGGGGGCACAGGGAGTTCCCTGCTTAATGGGCAGCGTTCCTGGGGGGTGATGAAAACATCTGCGAACGGACGGTGGTGGTACAACATGGTGACTGTGACTAATGACGCTGAATCAGACACTCAGAAACAGTCAAAATGGCAAATTTACTGTTATATGTATTTCACCACAATTAAAAAAAACACCAGTAGGCAGCAGGGAAAAAAAAAAAGACAAGCGTGTCCTTCTCCAAGTCATGTAAACAGTCGCAGATCTTCTGCATCTCCCCTTCGAGGCGGTGATTTTCATACACGATGTGTGTGTATCTGTGTCTACAAACAGAGCCAATACGTAAACCGAGAACACGCCTTGTCTATATGCCCCCCCTGTGCTGAGGGAATAGCAAAACCTTAAAGAAACGTGTTACTGAGCGCGGCACTGCTGGTCTTCAGTTACAAACAAAGTCAGGTCACATCCTCCTTCTAACTACTTCTGAATCTTGTACCTATTTCTATTATTACGTGTATCACACATTTTGTGTTTCTATACCCGCCTCTTCTCAGACCATAACCTCCTTGAAGGCAGGGATTATGTTATGCCTGTATTCTCATGCCTAGCAGTCCTTCATTTACTAAATGTCTGGGCACTTACCATGCACCAGGTCCTGTTCTAAGTGCTGGTCTGCCCCCACGGAGCTCACATTCTAATGCCTGGCATAGAAAAGGTGTCTGTTTTATTTTAACTGAAATGACAGATAACTATACCAGGTTTTCATTTTTTGATAAACTCTTGAAATTTCAAAGACTTGGGTGCCATGCATCTTTCTTCCTTTGCTCCTAATTTGCCATGACCTCATTCCCAATGCAAATCTCTGATCACCTTTCCAAACCCTCTTAAAATCTCGTCTCTTTTAGGAAGGTTTCTCTGCTCAGCCCCACTGTGATCCCCTCAGTTCTGCATTCCTTCAGAGCACTGCTCTATCTCCATTATATTGATTTATTAGTTGGTGTAGGTGACGTGTGGTTTTGCTTCCAACAAGGGAAACTCCGTAAGAACAGAAACCATGTCTTCTATTTGTTTTTTTGTCTTTCTCAGAAATGTATTCCTCACAAAATTCATTTCCAAAGACTTCACTTGCCAGAGTAAACTTCAATCTGTTCGGACATTCACGCAGCTATGAAATTCAGATCATCTTTTACCACAACAGAAAACTGCTAGAGACTATTCAATCATTCCATGTCCTCATTTCAAGGAAAGCCCAGGGAAGAGACACGTGTTGGAAAATCAGGAAACAAGATTTAATTAATAAAGTACCTTTTTTAGTATTCTATTTGTGGCTCCTACAAGCACAGACAAACAAGAACACGCCCCTCAGTCTCTGAGGTGCCCCCTTTCCTGGACCACTTACCCTGTGGGCAGACACTCTTCTAGTCTCTTGTACTGGTAGCCAGAGTTAGGGTTGATCTGGCCCCCGGGGGTGCAGGCTGTAGCCTGAATAGTGAGCTGGTGGCAGGCACACTTGGACCTGTATAGGACAGAAGGACACAAGAGTTAGGCCCGTGGCACTTTCTTTTAGGGACAAGAAGGACTGACAAATGGATGAGGACGGAGGAGTGGAGTTCTTATTTTTTCTCACGTAAATAACAAGGGAAAGAGTAAGAATCAGGTAAGAGACAGACAATGGCAGCTGAGAACAGGCCGGAGGGAAGCAAAGGCGAAGGACGAAGACCCCGAGAAAGCCGCACACGAGACTCGTGGCCCCAGGGCCACTCAGAGGCCGAGTCGGACCTCAGCCTCTGGACCTCACGAACTTCAGGGAGACTTCCCAGCACGGGCTCCAGCTGGGCAGGAACTAAAGAGACGGGAAACTGGAAGCAGTGTGGATGTAAGACAAGGGCAGCGGGGGAGAGAAAGTAACCACAGGGAACTTGGAGGCAGGGCAGCGTTCCCCCCGCCGACTCACTTGTCCCGGCAGCCATCCTTGCAGTCACAGCCAACCAGAAATTCCGGGCCTGTGTTAATGAAAACGCCTTTGCCCGGGATACGTTCCTTGCTGTAGGCCACTTGGGGTGGGGGGGTCGTATCGATCTCATTGACACAGGATAGAGGAACATCCTCCTTCCCGTAGGTGATGTCCAAAATATAGTAAAAAGGCTTGTAGGGCTGAAACTTCCGATCCACAAGAACATAGGGATCCAAACAGAACATTTCCAGGAAGAGGAAGTCACAGCCAGTCTCAAACAGGTAGCGTTCAATCTCCTGCATCGTCCGGAGGCAGAGTCCGCACGGCGTCTTGTAAATGACGTGAAAGCCCATCTTGCGGTTCACTCGGCGCCGGGCCGTCATCCGCCGGAAGTCATAGAGCAGCGGGACCAGCAGAGGGTTCTTGCCCCGGTACTGCTCACTCCTCATAGGTCTGACCCGAGACAGACAAGTATAGCTGCAGACATGAGGTAAGTAGAAAAGCTTCTCCATGGGGGCGCGGTAGGAGGGCTCTATTGGGGCCCTCTCCAGCATGCCATGGAACGCTGGAGGGGCCGGAGGGGCTGGGGGCACTGGGGGTGTTGGGGCAGCGGTTGTTGAACCTACAGGTGATCTGCAAATGAGATACAAGAGGTCAGACGAGAAGGCAACAGGACCTCTCCACTGGACAGTCACCCCGCAGCTAAGCCATTTTTCCCATCTTTCAAATAGCTGTGGCCTGAAAGCTAAAGACGACGCCAGAAAGTCAGATCATCCTGTGCGTACCCGACCTGGACAACGAACCCCCCGGCTACTGTTCGCCGACAGATAATACGCCTATTGCCAACAGTGTTAGCTTTCCCTAAAATCTGTGGGTTATCCAAGTAGAGTCCAGCCTTCTACCAATGCTTTTTTCCTGCCCTCTGTCCTACAAATGTCCTTACTAACTCCCAGGATTCAAGGAAAGAGGCTGTGGTGTCTCCTGTCTGTTGTACCAATGATGGCACCACGTTTGATGAGAAACTGTGACGAACGACTTTCTGGTGACGCTGCATTTCTAGGCACCCAGTTCCCAATTCAGCTGTTCTTGCTTTGTTTCTCAGAAACGGAAGTCAAAGCTTCCTTTCCAGGCCAAACTCCTCACTGTCATGATCTTCACCAAGCCCCCCGGAACCAAGGATCTTCCTCTACACAGTGGGCACCGAGTCCACGCTGCCCACCCGCCCGTCAGGGCCTCAGATCTTCTCACCTGTATGTCTGACTGATGCCAGGTTTCCCAGGGGTGTTTTCACTGAGAGTGGGGGACGTAGGCGGGGAGTGACCAGAGCCCACAGATCCTGGCCGGAAGGATGTGCTCTTTTTCGCTACCTGCTTCCGTGACTGGGCAAGCTGGCTTTCCAAGCTTCTAGGACAGAGAAGAGATCACAGAGGACGTGACGCAGAAAACACGGTATGAAAGAAAGTGGAGAGAAAGGAGGAAGAGCACTCACTCAGTGTCAGTTGCCTGGGGGGACAGAGGTGGCGCAGGCGGAGCTGCAGGCTGTGGGGGCTCCACTGGCTTGAACTGGGTTCCAGTGCTGGTCAGGTCCTGGGTGTACTGGACCACAGGGCCTTTGCTCCTTACAGCACCTACAGAAAAAGGAACTGGACTAGTGAGTGCACAACAGCTCTGTAACCTGAGTCCCTCCACACACCTGCATCAATCTATGCAATACAAAAACGCAGCGACAGAAACGCTCGGAATAAACGCTGAGACTGTCAGTTCCCATTAGTTATACCAACGATGAGAACGCTGGCACATAAAATAACAAACACTGACACTGGGCTCTGACTTCAAAAATGAGACTTTATCTTCCTGCCTCAGAAGATACATCTCAGCAACTATGTTATACTTTGGTGAATACAGTATTTTCAAAAAAGCATTCTTTATCAACTAACGTTGGCGGGGCAAAAAACAACTCAGGTATGCCAGGAACAGAAAACAAAAACAGTCTCAGCTTCAAAAAGTGACCACAGACAGCACACAAAGCAGACTCCAGACCTGGATAACAGAGGTAAGAATAATGGAGGTAAGAATAACGGAGGTAAGAGTAACAGAGATGATAACGACGGAGGTAAGAATAACAGAGGTCGTGATAACAGAGGCTGTTTAGAAAGACTCAGAGCCACCGCACGTGGAGGCAGCACACAGCCATCGCCACCACTGCCAGCAACTCGGAGCACACGTCCCATTTCCAATGCGTCAGCACTGTCGTCCTGCTAAACAAAGGACAACCACCGGAGAGAATGGCCTTTGCTGGTCTGGCCCCGAGTCTTCCTGCCCCCAGGGTATCAGTCAGGACATACCCATGTTCGGGCGTGTCCTCAGCTGTCCCCCTTGCTTCTTCTCCAACGCAGAGGCCGAGGATGTCTTCATGCTGAACATGGGCTCCAGCCGAGTAGAGCCCCGATAGATCCACTCACATCTTTTGTCATCCTGGGGGATTTGGAGGAAGGGGCAGGGTGACAGGTTAAAGGCTAGAATCTACTCTGCTGTCTGTGGAGAACACACAGCCGTGTACCTCCTCTGGGATGTTTCCCCAATGAGCCCTGAATTCCTCTCTAGTCAATAAACTTGTGTGCCGGGCACCATGGCAGGTACTTGGAATAGAAAGAAGAGAAGCACATTCCTTGTTTAAGGAATTACAGCAGAGACAGATGTCAATACCGAGAAGTGTGACAAGGGCCACAGGGGCCTTAGGAACAAAGGGGACACAAAGAAGAAATGTCATTCTAGCCAGAGGGCAAGGGGGAAGATAAGGAAGGGTACACAAGACCTAAAAGCTAAACTGAGGCTTGAAGAATCATCCAGATCTCAGTTCCTTCACCCCTCCGCTCTCTGTCCTGCTGTCCTACCAAACCCGACTGTGGACAAACTGAACTGCCTGCCTTCTCTATACCTACACCCAGTGTGACTTCCTAGAAAGGAAACAACCAGCCACGTGGATTGGTGTCATAATTAAAGTCGTTTTCAACAGCCACCCAGAGAGAAACAGAAAGACCAAGTAAAGGATGCCTATAAACAGAACAGATAGGAAGATAAGAAAGAGGAAAACTGAGGACTATCTACAAGATCTTCCTCATATCACCTCCCAGGCACCCCCCACCTCCGGAGCCCTAGGGAGGAGCAGTACCAGGAAGAGGATCCTGACCAGGCTGCCGTCCACCTCCTCGACCCGGGACTTCCACCATGTGCCTTCCCACTCGGTCTTGATAAGCTGGCCGCTCTTGAGCAGCACCATGGGGCGGTTGGGGTAGGCGGTGATATACTCCTCTATGAAGTCTCGGCAGGAGATGTCCTCTATGTCCTCCCAGGTCTTTTTCACTGTCCCGAGAAAGAAGAAGGGCTGAGAGAGGGCAGGCAGGGCATGTCTTGATAGGGAAAAATGGCTAGCAAGAAGATATCTGGTATTTTTCAAGTCAGCAGGGAGAGAAAAAAATAAAGAAATCATAACCTCAAGGGATGTAAAAATAAGAGCATGTAAATATTAAACCCAGTGTGTAAATGCACACATAAGCCAAGTAAATAACAAGTAAGCAATATACAAACATCAGTGACTTCAATCACTTCATACAAATAAATGTTTCTTCTCAGGGAAACGCACGTGGAAATTCCTGCCACTTGTTGATATAAAAGGAAAATCAAAAACAGCCAGATGGCCTCATGAAATAACAAAAACAATTATCCCTCCTTCTCACTCTGTCAGGCTTTTAGGGAGCCTGGATGTGTGTGTTCACCGCCATGTTATGGGAAACACAGCAGTTTGACAGCTGACTGCTCTGGGGGAGTGTTCCCAAGCCAGAGTCACGGCACAGAGGACACCCTGCAGTCTCCACCTGACAGTTTCTGTGGAAAGCGCTATGCAGGCTACAGACTGATACGGGCATTAGATGAAGCACGAGACTAGGAAAGACGTAACACCTCCCCAAACCTGAATCACTCAGAGACGAAATAAGCACACAGCTACGATAGAAGCGCTCCCCAGGGCCAGTCCCAACCTTCTATGCGCTCTCTGGCCATAAAGACCCAGCAATGCAATGAACAGACGAAACTCTATCTCCCAAAGGACAATAACCAAGCCTGTGAGAACCTTGTGCACCAAATAAATAAAAAACAAGAGATTTTCAACTGGGCGTCTCAAGAAGAAATACAAAATGGGGGGGGGGGCAGTGGGGAAGGACTAGACCAAAAGGCGGCGGGGGGGGGCACTCACATGGCCGGCAGATAGGATACAGTTCCGACTGCGTGACATAGGAAGCATAGCCATCATCAAAGAAAATGAGGAACCTGTAAGGGAAGCGTGACGGTAGAGACCTGGGGGTTAGAACACAGGGCGTATTCAACGTGTCGTACAGAAATCACTGTCACGGCTGCCACTCGTCCGGGTCAGCACAGATACACTCCAGGGACGACGTTCCAATCTACTGCTTTCTTCCTGCACCAAGAGCTGGGAATTCTCCCTTCATCTCCCCAGCATCTCCCCACTTGTTCTCGTTCCTCTCAGACTCCTATGCTGTGGCATGCAGGCTCCACTCCATCTCTTCCTTCTACATAAACTCCTCACTCCCCAAATCGGTCACCAGTTTTGATCCCCACTCCCCAAACTGGTCACCAGTTTTGATCCCTACTCCCCAAATCGGTCACCAGTTTTGATCCCCACTCCCCAAATCGGTCACCAGCTTTGATTACTCTCCTCTAGTCTCCTCTCTCTCAAGTTTTCTCCTTAAGAAGAAAAAAGGCTCATGCACATGACATCTGCTGCAAAGAAGCAGACTGCGTCTCTGGCCACAGGGGACTGGGGACACAGACGCTAAGTGTGAGAGCTGGACTAGGGCCTGCGCAGGGCAGGTGCCGCGCAGCCCTCCTCCGTCCCCTTTACGCTCCTGTCCCAGTACCTGAGCTTGTTTTTGACATTCGGTGTCTCAGCTACGATGCCAGCATACAGCCAGACCTGACTCCCGTCCTTGTACTTGGCCACCACTCGGCTGCCCACGTACAGCTTGTCAGGAGGGGGGTGGTGATCATAGGCAATGTGGTTCCCCGACAGGAGGCTCTTCCCTTTGTTGTCGAATTTCACCTTGTACTTCTTCCCTGGCCCTGAGTAAGACAGGACGATGACAAGCACACGAAGGCAACCACAGCAGTTTTCAGCACGAACGCCGGCTGCTGTGTGAGCGACAGAGGAAGGAAGGGAGACCTGCAGGGCTGCCCTCCACCGGCTCTTCCTCTAATCTGAACTCACCAACTGTCTGGATGGCAATAAGTGTGCCTTTGTGCCACGTCTTCGTTCTCTTCTTGCCCAGAATCCGCATGCTGACTATCAGGTCACCGTCTTTGCTCAGCTCGCCAGACACCTGACTTGAGGTTCCTGTGGAAGAAAGCAAAGACATACTGAGAGACGTGCCATAGGCTGGGTAGAGAGTGAAAAGGTAGAGAGGGCAGTAGGGTAACCAGGAAGTGGAGAAACCTCCGATCCTTAGTCACTTCTACTGCTCTGTTGGCCAAAGGCAAAATCACAAGTGACAGCTGACTCAACTGTTTATGCTACCAGGAGAAACCTGAGTATTTGAAGTTCATGTCATTCAAAACTCTTCACTTTGGTAAAACATTTCCAACTCCTATCAGTAATAGTGACTATCACGTTTAACATGGCGAGTAGCATTTGTAAGACATTTGCCTACAGGGTAATTAATAGCCCCATTCTACAAGCAAAGCTTCCCTCAGATCTCTTCGTAAGAGTCTGAGTTACTCTGCTCTCCCTAATCCCCACTTGGAAAGAGCAGTCATGGGCGTGGAAACAGCCTCAATGTAGACAGCTAAAAAGGTATTAAGAGCCCTGATGGCATGGTGGTTAAAGGGTTGGCCGCTAATTTAAATGATGGTGGTTCAAACCCACCAGCCGCCCCATGGGAGAAAAATGTGGCCGTCTGCTTCCAAAAAGATTATGGCCTTGGAAACCCTATGGGGCAGTTCCACCCTGTCCTATAGGGTCACTATGAGTCGGAATCGACTCGATGGCAAGGGGGTTTGTTTGTTTGTTTTTAAGGACAATGAGTCTGGTACATCACAAACAACCAGCAGACGAAAGACCTAAGCAGACAACAAACAAAACGACAAATAATCTTACACTGACCATTGATGTACCGCCAGTGGTGTTAGAAGAAAAGTACACGACAGACGTGGAGAATTCCGAGATGCTTACGCAAAGCACGTTACCCACAAGGCCTCTGGAGGAATCCACCTCCCCATCCTCCACTGCCTGCACCCAGGCACCTCCTGACCCTGACCTTTATGGACATCTTGGGAGCTGCTCTTCTTGTTGACAGCATCCATGAACTTCTGAACATCCTGAGCTGACTTTCTTAAGGCAGCCATGGCTTCACGGAGCTGAAGGGACAGAGGGGAGGGAAACAAGTTCCAAAACGGCACACGGGTTAGAAACAACTTGAGAATCAGGAAAACCTTGTATTTCAAAAAACAAAAGGAAGGGAGACATGTTTGGAGTTATATGGTTACTGTATCAGGCAAAAGCGGGCCTTTGTTACAAACTTGGTTCAGAAACCCGCTTTAGGAAACTTGGCTTGATTAATCACACTGGCTAATCGCTGTTACAGTCTACACTCGCTCAGCACTCGGTCGTCAGCGCATGCACCTCTTGGTGACCGTGTCTGCATTCTTGGCGTATCTATTAAAGGGTCGTAACCCACAGGGCTGATTCCAGGGTGAATGACTCTATGTCCATGGTTGAGGCGAACGGATGATCAGGCCGAAAGTTTCTCCCATCTTCACGTTGCTCCCTCTCACCCTCCCCTCACCCACCCCAACTCACCTTCTGGTCTTTTGGGGTTCTGTTTCCAGCATCCCCTGTGGATAAGGAGAACTCTAGTAAGTGTAAGGGACTTACACGGAAGAATGTCGGAGAAATCATGAACAAAGCTTAAAGCATTATCACTGAAGTAGTGAGAACAATCCAGATACAGGCATACACATATATGTAAGAGTATTCAAAATATCCAGAGAGATAGCACAACACGTGGATAACAGTGCTTACTTCTGAATAACGGAGTGGACAAGCGGTCATCTATGCGATTGGGGGCTCTCACTGTATATCACAATTATTATAACAATAATGTATTCACTAATCATGCAATTTTAAGTATGAGATGTGGTCAGTGAGTTAAGCAAAAATGTCTATTTTTGAGTAGCAATGTCCAGCAGAACTGTGATAATGGAAATGCTCTATATCTGCACTGTCCTATCCACTACCATTTGGCTACTAAGCACATGAAATATGGCTAGCGCAACTGAGGAAATGAATTTCAATTTAAAAAATTTTTTGAGGTATAATTCACGTATCATAAAATTCACCCTTTTATTAAAGTCACAATTCAGTGGTTTTTAGTATATCCACAAGGTTGTGCAACCATTGTAACTACCTAATTCTTGAACATTTTCACCACCCTCAAAAGAAATCCTGTACCCGTTAGCAATCACTCCTCACTCTCCGCTTCGCCCAGCCTCTGGCAACACTTCCTTCCTTTCCGCGTTTCTAAGACTGTCCTGTTCTGGATATTTCATGTAAACAGAATCACACACTATGTGGCCTTTTCTGTCTGGCTTCTTTCACTCAGCAGAACACTTTCAAGGTCATTCTACGCTGGAGCATGTATCAGTACTTGATTCTTTTTCATGGATGAATAATGAAATACCACGTTTTGTTTAACCGTATTTGGGTTGTTTCCACTTTGTGGCTATAGTGAATAACACTTCCGTGAATGTTCATGTACAGGATTTAGTGTGCATGTTTTCATTTCTCTTGGTATACAGCTAGGACTGGAACTGCCGAGTCATACAGTAACTCCATGTTTAATCTTCTGAAGAACTGCCAGACTTTTCCAAATTGGCTGCGCCATTTTACATTCCCACCAACAAGGTACGAGCGTTCCAGTTCCTCCAGATCCTCCGGAGCACTTGTTCCTGCCATCTTTTCGATTACAGCCACCCTAATGAGTGTGATTTTGATTTGTACCCCCGATGACAGATGATGCTGAGCACCTTTTCACACCCTTGCTGTGTGTGTTAGCTTCGGTGGAGAAATCTCCCAGTTGGAGACATCTTTCAGTGGGGCTATTTTTTTTTTATCGTTGAGTTACAGGACTTCTTTAATATATTTTGGATACTAAACCCTTTAAATTAAATTAAATCTAAACAGCCACACGTGGGTAGCGGTTACCATAACGGCCAGTGCAGTTCTCAAGATTTAGAAGATATATTGAAATATGGAAAACAATGTAAATGTCCCAAAATAACACAAAGGTTAAATAAGCTGTAATAATACATCCAGATGAGGCTCATAAAGAATCTTTAATAACACAAGGCTTAAAAAGTTAGGATACGAATTTATTTATTTGCTATGTCTCAGACTTGGAGAGAATACACTCACATACTTGCATGCTCACAAAGAGCTTCGGATATGGTATATGATTAAACATCTGTTATCCCAGAGTTCAGCATCACAAAGGAAAAGGCTTAACCACGTGTCCTGTATCTGAGCAGGAAGGAGAGGTGCATTTTGTTAATCTTGTAGTGTTTTCATTTTTATTATAAAGCGATGCATGTGGTGAAATATTTTAAATACTGTATTATGGGGCTGGGGGATCTGGCAACGACTTTGGGTGGTGGCTGCACATGATTAACGTAACTGACATCACTAAACTATAACCTGAAAGATGCTGAGTTGGCGAATGCGTCATATATATTTTCACAACAATAGAAAAAATTACTCTAAAAGGAATAAAAACCTAATGATTAAAATAAAATAAAAAATGCAAACACTACATATTCAGGGGAAATTAAGTGTCCCTCCCACTCTTGCTTCCAGTTACCCTCCTCAGAAACAACCAATATTATCAGTTTCTTCTGTGCCCAAAGATTTTCTATCAGGAGTAAATAAATGTACAGATGTATTCTCTCCCCCATCCTCTTATGCATATTCAACATGCGCGTTTTCTATGTCACTTCCCCCACCCCTTGAATTAAAAATACCTAGGAAAGTATGCCTATCAGTATCTAAAACTCTGTCTTATTCTTTTTAATAGCTATGTAATACCTTCGATGGTGGTACCATATATTTTTTATTTAGTCTCTTATTGATAAGTACTTGGGCTACTATCAATTACATACTATTACAAACAATGCTGCAATAAACATCTTTAAGTATCGCATGTGACTCGGTGTGGAATCATCATGAAACTAGGTTTGTGGGTAGCTGACAAATTTGCTACAGGTACTAGTGGAGTTCAAGTCACTAAGCTAAGATGTAGGGAGGAGACCACAGGTGATGTGAGGGAGATTAGGCAACATTAGGTTAAAGTGATCCAGGCAGTAATCCAGGTAAAGACCTGAATGAAATGTCAAGCTCTGCTAAAAACACAAGTATAAAGTTTATGCCAGTAAGTTGAAAACTTACATAAAATGAGTAAATGACTAGAAAATTACAAATTACCAAAACTGACTCAAGAATAGAAAAGCTTTACACACACACACACACACATACACACACACACACAATAGGGCCCTAGATGGCTTTACAAGCAAATTCCACCAAACATTCAAGGGCAGATAATTCCAATCTTATACATGCTTCCCAAGAACCAAAAGAGAATACTCTCTCTCTCATTCTACAAGGTCACCAAAATCTCAATACTAACATTACACGAGGATAGTACAAAAAGAAAATTTAGGCCTATCTTTCTTAAATCCTAAACAAAATATCATCACACCAAATCCAGCAATGTTTAAAAAGATTAATAACAAGAGGGAAAATGCAGAACAGAATTCAGATTCTCATGGAGTCCAGACTTTCTGGAGCCACGGAGGCTGGATGAATCCCTGAAGCTGCTGCCCTGAGATAATCTTTAAAGTTTAACCCAAAAATATCCCCTGAAGTCTTCTTTAAATCAAACAATAGTTTAACTTAATTAGTAACGAATGTCTGCCTTGATCATTGTACTCTTTTAAGATTTATCTATATGAGATCAAATTAACAGCAACTCGAAATATTAGATAGGAAACTCAGGGGTAGTGAGTTTACGGTAATGGGGAAGGAATAATTCAGAAAAAGAGGGTGAGAATGATTGCACAACTTGAAGAATGTAATCAATGTCACTGAATCGTACATGTAGAAATTGCTGAATTGGTGTATGTTCTGCTGTGTATACTCTCAACAACAACAACAAAAAGATTAATGTCATTTTCAAGTTGGATTCATCCCAGGAATATAAGGTTGGTTTAATATTAGAAAACTGATTAATGTAATTCATCACATTATCAGAATAAAGGAAGAAAATCACATGATTATCTGATTAGATGTAAAAAGTATGTTTAATAAATCAACATTTATTCAACTAAGAATCCTCAGCAAACTAAGAACAAAAGACAAGTTCTTTTACCTGATAAGTGACATCTAAAAAGCTGGTAACAAGCAATCAGTCTTAATGGCGAAAAGCTGAAAACATTTCCTTTAAAATAAGCCATAAGACAAGGAAGCCCACCATCACCACTCCCATTTAACGTTACACCAGAGGTTCTAGACAGTGTACTATGATAGGAAAAATAAAAGACATATCTTTTATAACTAAAGGAAAGGAAGAAAAACTGCCATTATTTGAAGATGATAGTCTACAAAGAAAACCTAAATGAATCCTTAGAGATAAGAATTTAATAAGACTGCCAGATAGGAAAATCAATATACAAAAGTCAATTGCATTTCTACATACCATTAACAATTACTTAGCATAGTCATTTTTAAAAGCTATTTCCTGTGGCTATTGAAAATGGTAGCTAGAAATAAATCTGACAAAAGATGTACAAGCTTTCTGTGGAGAAAATTAATTAACTTTATTGGAAAACAATAAAGACCTAAATAAATGATTTTTGTATGGAAGAATTAAATATTGTAAACTTAACAACTATCCCTAAATTGATGTTTGAAAATGTCAATCTTTTGGGCTTTTGGGGAGGAGAGTTAGGAACATGAGCTGATTCTCAAATATATTTGTTAAGTGCAACAGCTGAAAAATAACCAAGGCATTCCTAAAGAAGAACAAAGTGAGGTTACTGGAGCTAACAGACACAGAATCTTATAAAGCCACCATGGTAAAGCCAGTGTAGAAGGCAGAGAAGAAGACAGACCAATGAAACAGAAAAGTTCAGAAACAAACCTATACATACGTACGGAAATAATTTACGACAGAGGGACCAATGTAGATCAGCGAGAAGGGACTCTTCAATAAACGGTGCTAGAAAACTGGTTAACAACTATAAGAAAAAAAAAGAAATGGGATCTTTATCTCAAATTCTACACAAAAAATAAATCCCAACTGAATGAAAAATTTAAATGTGAAAGGCAAATCTATTAAACTTTCAAAAGATAATATAAAAGGAGATTGTTACAGCCTCAGGGGAGCAAAGGATATAATAAGCATTAACCATGAAGGAAAACCTTAAAATTAGAACTTCTGTTTATCAAAAATTACCTTAAAAGTGAAGACAAACCACAGACCTCAACAGATATCTGCGACTCATGTAATCCTGAAGAGTCACTGATTAGAACATAAAGATTTCTTACGAATCACGAAAAGACAAATACCCTTGAGAAAATGAGCAAAAAACATGCAACAAAGAAAGTATTTCAAAGAAAAACTACAGATGACCCGAAAACATATGAAAAGATGCTCAAGTTCATTAGCGGTCAGGGAAATCAAAGGCACGGTGAGATACGATTTTACAACATTACTGGCAAAGACGAAAAGCCCATCAACGCTGAGTGTTGTCAAGGATGTGCAGCAACGGGCAATCTCATCCAACGGTGGTAATCGGTACAACCACTTTGGAAAGCTCTTTGGCCATTAGCCAGTAAGGATGAAATTTCCATGTCCTTAGAAAACAGCAACTTAAGAGCACGTATCCTCAAAAGAATCTTGCACATGTGTATCAGAAGACAAGTACAAGAATATTTACAGCAGCAGCACTTCTAATTGCAAAAAACTGAAAAAAGGAAAAACAAAACCAAAAAATCCCCAAACGATCATCCACCGTCAGGAGAAAAGATAGACTATGGCATATTCACATAATGGAATACTGTACGGCTGTCAGCGAGTGAACTAAGCATCACGCATCCAACCAACATAATGATGAAGAAGAAAAGCAGATCACTGAAGAATGCACGCAGCACGCATGATTCCATTGATGCAGTTCAAAAAGAGGCCAAACTAAAGCAATCCTAACATTCTGGTAAGAGCAACGGGAAAAGTTCTGACAAGGTCCCCATGCAAAAAACAAGTATAAACTGGACACAATTGTCAAAAACAAGCATTTCAGGGCACTGGAAACTGACAAAAGGCAAACAAATTGAGAAACATCTATTTCTGAAAAACTCCTAAAGCTTCCAGTAACAGAGGTGGGAGTCTGTGGACTTCTTGCCTGGGGCAGCTCCCATCCCCACCCCACCCCCAGGTTGGTGGGCAAAAACTCCACCTTTACCAGCAAGGGGCTAGTCACGACAATGAGCAGCTTTACTAGTCCAAGGATGCATTCTGGTTTAGAAAGAGCACCAAACCAGTCAGAAATTTAACAAGGAGATCCTGAAAATGAGACAGACATACAGGGCTAAGTTCTCTATACATTCTTGGCTGACTGCAAACCTATGTACATGCAGGGAAGCCCCACGAGTTTGGTACAACGGAAATGCCAAGGAGACAAAACCCAGCTCTAAATGCATTGCCCGTAACTCTGGACAACTCAATGCCTTCCCCACTAAACTATGCAGAAACACGGAGAACCCTTAGGAGCCAGCCTAAAAATAAGTTAAGATTTTAATAACTGAGCTGAGACACCAACAGCTGCACACTGCAGAAGAAACAGACGTACAGTTTAAGACCGAGAAAACTATTAAAAATAAAAAAAAGCAACCCTCAGAAAAATAAAGTTCGGAGTTGCTACTTTATCTAAAATGCCCAGTTTTCAATGAAAAATGAGATATG